CCCTCACGGCTGATAAGATTGCGGAGGAGGCAGACTTCTTCTCGTTCGGTACCAACGACCTGACACAGATGGGCTGCGGTTTCTCGCGCGATGATGCCGGCACATTCCTGCGCCAGTACTCCGAATTGGGCATCTACAGCCAGGATCCGTTCCAATCTCTCGACCAGGAGGGTGTTGGCCAGCTCATGCGCATTGCTGTGAGGAAGGGTCGTCGTGTTAAGCCGATGCTGAAGATAGGCATCTGCGGTGAGCATGGTGGCGACCCAGCAACCATTGGGTTCTGCCACAAGATTGGCATGAACTACGTGTCGTGCTCTCCGTTCCGTGTGCCGGTCGCCACTGTGGCCGCCGCTCACGCTGCACTGAAGGAAAAGAAGGACATGGAACAACGGTACAAGAAGATTGCCGCCAAGCTGTAGAAAGACAAGGAAAGAATTATGTGTCCTTTTTTTTTTCTTCTTACTATTTGTGTTTTAATAATTGAAGACGTTTTTTTTTATTTTAATTGTAGGAAGGGCGGGCTGAGAAAAAATTTTGAGGATTACATTTTTTTTTTTTTGTGGGTATGTTAGTAGGTGGTAGGCTTTTGTGTTAAATGAGATTTGTGTGGAAGAGTTTAAGAATAATAGAAGGGAAATTTAATGTGATTGTTGAAAGACGGAGCGTGTTTGTTTTCATGGTTTTTTGTGTGTTTGTGGTAATTGTTCGTGATATAACTTCCGCGGTGCCTTTTTTTATTGGGGGTTTGCTGGATTTTCTGGCGCATGGATTGCCGTTTTTTTTTTTCTGTGCTCTCACCGCTTTAGTCAGCACAGAGAAGTCAGTGATGCGGAGGTTGCCGCGTAAATGCCTGGGAGTTTATGTGTTCTCTCACGGTAATTACTATTTAGGATACCATTGTTTGTTTTTGTTTTCCCGATTGCCTTGTTACGCACCTTTTTTTTTCCTTCGGTCATTTTGTGCTTTATTTATTCTATGTGTTTTTGCCTCAGTGGACTGTTGGTGTGAGGCCATTGGTTTTACTTCATGTCGTGTGACAGGCAGCATGGTTTTCGGCGCCGGAGTATCTTTTTCTCCTTTTCATTTCTTCACGTTTTTTTTTTTTTTGAGAGGCGTTAGTGCTGCATGAATGGGGGAGTGAGGAGCAATGAGGGGTGCTGCGGCAGATTGGACGGTACGAGGCTAGAGAAGAGGGCGACGGGCAACATCAAAAAGCAAAATAGTGAGGGGAACAGAGTGCAATTTATTTTATAAGCCGAAGTTTTTTGGTTTTCTTCCTGGTGGATTACGACTATCACTGTAATGTCGTAGGACGCCGGGGAGGCACTCCGTCAAAAGCCACGCAGGCAGTTTATTGTGCTGTGGCCTACATTTTTTTTTCCGCGTTTTATTGTTTGGTTTAATAGTATTGCGCGTCTTTGCGCGAGGTAGAAGGACCATTTTTTTTGTTTTTGTTGTTGAGGCATATCACCGCCAGCAAAACTGTTAGTGCAGCAAGCGAGTGTGATTTTGATCGGGCGCACCGAGGTTTCTGTTGTATACGGGGCGGAGAGGTCTTTGAAATGCGCAGTTTGTTGGATGGCATCACGTCTGCACTGCGCATGCCGCTGCAGCTGCGGCAGAGGGAGGACGATGAACAACAGCCGCTGGGGTGCAGGGGGGCCACCGCCACCACCACCGTCGTCCCCTCACTGCGTGGGAAAGAGCCCACCAATGTAAAGGAAACCGGGTTTCCCCTGGGATCGTTGCTATACGGTGGCAGTAGTGTTTCGTGTGCTTTTGCGGCAGAGAAGTCACCGGACTTGCCCTTCACAATGCTTCTCCTGACGCAAAACGTTGGGGGTCTTTGGTCCTCCTCTGATGCTGTGAGTGGGGAAGACGCGGAGGTCGCAGATGGTGCTCCAGAGACGGTACCCACAACAGGAGTATCCGACCGTGTGCGGAGGCGTGTAGCGGAATTCTTACAGGAGCTTCGTCTTTTAATTTATGAGGCGAGTCGTCGCGAATTTGCTTCACATCTTCGGAAGGACAGGGTGAATACGGAGAGCAGTGGATCGCCATTGAGGGCGGCTGACAGTTCCCATAGCGAAGTGCCGCCGCTGCTTGACGTCATTGTTGTACACTTTCAAGAGATTGGCGGGAAGAAGGTAAATACGGAGTTGAACGCTTTTTTCGCGGAGGCTCTCAGGGCAGTGCTGCCGGAGGCGGCGTGGTCGTCGGGTCTTCTTATGGAAACCAACAACGACGCACAACGATTTACGGCGTTGGGGTCGATTGTGTTCCTTTCGCACCGCATGTGCCCGATCAGCAGCATACTTTCGTTCCGACACCGCACCTTTGTTGCTGTTGCTGATGATCCTGCGACTTACGGAAGTTCGCCGACGTTTCTCTTTCACGGTGGTAAATTCTCAGGTGATGCGTCGGCGCGCAAGGGGTATCTACTGACGTCGCTGCGCTTCGGCACAGTAGTGGTGAACTACCTCAACATCCACTTGCACCATGACGCTCGAAACACAGAGGCGGCAGTGGCGAGCCCCAGCCCGTACGCGGTGCGGCGCCAGGAGGCGCTTTTGGAGGCGATGGCTGAATGCATGGTTTTTGCTGATCCACAGGATCCCCTCTTTATTTTTGGTGACTTCAACACCCGCCTGGACACCCAAAGCCTGCTGAAGCACCTTAAAGAGTCCCAGCAGATGGAACTGCAGCTCTCCGCAAAGGACGTGCAGGCACCGGATGATTTTTGGGAGCTTTTCACAGAGTCCCATCACGCAGGTATGATTAAGAGATTTGACGTGGAGCTGCAGCGCTTGATGGATATGGTGGCACAACAGAGCGGGGTGGAGCTGGCGGAGTTTGCCATACGCTTTCCCCCGACGTACTCGAGACTTCCCGTGAAGGGGCCCATAAGAAGTCGTCCAAAGTCAAAAAATGACGTAGAAGCTGGTGAAGGCGACGATGGAGGCGATGCCGATGACGACGAGCTTATGAAGGGGGGTAAGAAGAGGGGGAAGAAAAAGTCCCGGACAGAGACAAGTCCTGGTGAGGCTGCGGTGCCCCTAGTGCTTTCCCGCATCACGGCTGTACCCACACGCGGGTACAGCCGTCAACGTATTCCTGCCTGGTGTGATCGTGTCGTGTGGAACCCCCCCGGGCTGGAACTTATGACGGGACAGCGCTCTTCATCTGCATCTTTGCCGTCTGCCTCGTCCAAGAATGACGGTATCCCAGACTCCGCTTCTCGATACGTGTACCGTTCTTTTGCCCTTGCCCACACTGATCACGACTGCATCGTGCTGCTGTTTTAAATAGTTTCCTCATGGCTGCACTGTTGCCGTTTCATGGGGGGGGAGGGGGTAACGCCATTCTCAGTTCACCCTGCGTCTCCGCCTGCCCCCCCCCCCCCCCCCCCCCCTTCCTTGCATCGCTGGGTCTCTCTTACTGTGGTTATTTGTCAGCACGTCGGCATCATTGTGCGTGTTCTGCACGAACATCTTTTTTATTTTTATTTTCTCAGCTTATTTTTTCCACACTTGTTCTTTCACGGCCGTTGTGGGAAAGTAGGGGGATGCACGCGTGTGAGAGGGACGACCCCGATCACCACCCAAACGAAGACCGTGCGCCCATGTCATGTGGCCCTGCTGGGAGTAGCGATTACCGGGGTCAGGCCATGTATGGTGACCCGACCTCTTTGGATATGATGGGTCTGCTGCCCAGGGGGTCGTTGAGAGCTGATGCAAACGCTTGTGCCGCAGACTCTAGCTCCGGGTGGAGACTTTTTGGTCTGCCAATTGCTTCTAGCACCCTCTCCGGCACGGCGTCGTGCCATGAAATGTTGCGTGGGCCCAGTGTGCAACGTGCAACCGAATCACACACGGCCATTGTGACAGACTTCAGCAACAGCGTCCCTTGCCCTTTGCTGACAGCTAGCGTGCATGAAATGACGGTCGGGGAACCGCCTTTGAGTGATGTCACTGTTTTGGGCGATGACGTTAAGGCGAGTTACTGGAAGCAACTTGCTGCCACGAACGCAGAAGAAAAGCTGGACTCAACAGTGTCTGCTCATGTGGCGCCATGCGCCTCACCCGGGGTGAATGTGGGACGCGCACCATCACAGCCACCCCAATCAACAGCACCAGAAGCGGTGTTGTCAGTCTTGCAGTGTGAGTCTGTTAAGGCGAGTTCAATGAAAAGTGTGGAGCATGATGCTTCAAAATTGTCTATTAGTGACTCTCATGAGGAAAATTTTTTGTGCCTGCATGATGTTCTAAAGGGATCTGCCTTGGCGATGTCTTCACCTTCTGCTGAAGAGGTACTACAACCGCAGCGAACAGCCCCAGTGCCTTCCACGAAGGCTACACAGAGGATGGACATCTCACGACACCGAAAACATGGCCTTTTTGGTCTTTTTGGTCTTTTTGGCACCATGGACAGGGGATACTTTGAGGCATTCATTCGCGTGTTTAGACGAAATCAAATATTGTTGGAGGGGTTTCTTGAGCGTGTGCTGCAGTCCAAGCCAGACCTTTACATCGCGGAAATTGGCATCCTGGATATCTTGAGACTAGAGCAAGGGGCGCCAGACGATCAATTTTTTATGGATCCGCTCATATCGTGGCCCACGCATGTGTTGTACAAAGTGTCGTGTTTTTACGTTACGGCAAAGAAGTGTGGGTACCATAATACCTTTGAAGCCATGCGCCGGCAAGGTGGCGTGTTTGCCAGTGGCAAGGGTCTTTTTGCGGCGCTGGCAGTTGCAATGTCACCAACAGAAGAAGAATTGATACATCATACCGCGCAAATGTGCCAAGCAGCCTGTATTGTCGGTCTGGTGTATAGCAAATTTGAGAAGCAGCTTCATGTGCAGGTTAAACAATGTGCACTGCGCAGCTTCTCACTCGTGCTTGCTAACATTTCAACGATATCTCTGCAGCTGCTTCTTGACGAGGTGAATACGCTAAATTTTAGGCCAAAAAGCAGGGATGGTGGCTGCGGCGACAACACGTCCCACGGTATTCCCATGTCAAGGTTGGTGCTGGCGCGAGTTATTAGCTCTCACTCTGCAATTGTATGCGGTCACCCTTTGGACTTGGAACGGTTGAGCACCCTGCTTCTTCGCTATGCTGACGCCACAGGGGTGCTGGTCCAAATGGAATACTTGCTGACCACAGTACCGGAGAATAGTCCTTTTTACAACACATGGCAACACCTAGAACTGCTGCAGCTGTGGAAGGAGAGTGCCGTGGAGTTGGATGCCGCCAAGCTTCAACTAACCCTGTACTCTCCTGTAGATGGGCAGCCTTGGAATGAATTTACTACATGTGCTCTGGCTGACCGTGTCGCCGTGGCAGTGACATATGCGTTGCAAGATTTAACGTGTTCTCTTCAGCACATGCGTTCTGGCGACGTCCTACTCGATTTCTCGGCGGCTGCTCCATGCATGAGTCAACTCATTGCCTGGACGCGGAAGAATATTACGATGTTGTTGCAACCCGCCGATTGTGTTAGTAGCTGTATTTTTCCTTCCCCACGTAGAAGTCCTGAGGACGGCGTTCTTTGCTCCACCCTTGCGGGCTGCGCACGCATTAATACGATTATGCAGAGCATGCAGTGGGAGGGGAAACCGCGTCAAGCTCGCGTTTTGGATCTGACCATGAACTTCGTTGACCTTGGGCTATTAGTAAGTGCTGAGGAGCTTTCGAAGGCGTCTGCCGGCCCCCACTTGAAGTGCCGTGCGGGCGAGAGAAAATTACCCCGCACCTCCACTATAAGAAGCCCCCAACGTGGGACGTTGATGGATGTTGTACTTGGCCCTGGTGAAGACGTGGAACTGAGCGCAGAAAACGATGCCTTGTTTTCTGCGCTTGGTGTTTCGAGCGCGGCTGCCGCGGCTATGCCTAAACATTATATTACCCTGCCCCATGAAAAACTTCCCGGTGTCTTGGACATTTATTACGAGTCGCCTGCGATCCGGTACTACGAAATGCAGTGCAACTGCTTTTTAACACGAGGTGCAGTGGAGTTTACACGCCGGTTGTCGCTTTGCACGGGGATTGCGTTACCTCCCCACACGCTGCTGATGTGCCCTACCTTGCTGTCTCTTATGGAGCTCTTAGACACGTACGCTTTTTTGAGACACAAGGCGCGTTACGAGGAGTAGCGAGGGATTTGCGCTTCCACCGTTACCCACACCATTACGTCATCATTTCCTTTTTGTGCTCCCTACTTGCGCCCACCCTCATTCACGCTGCCGGTTTGCTGGACTCACGCACATTAGCCACCATATGTGACACCGGCCATTCTGTGTCATTAACCTTTTGTTCTGCCCTTGTTTTTCCCCTCGCTACCGCTCGTTTATTGCTTCATCTCTGCCATCACTGACATTTCTTGTGGACTTTCTTTCTTTGTGTATGTGTGCTTGTTTGTGACTTGTTTGGCGTGCATGTAATATATGCGTGATGCCTTGGGTGGACGAGGATTTGTTTCCAGACAGACTAACAAAAAATAATAATAAAACCTTGCAGACGAATTTTTGGTCGGAGGTAATGCGGCTTTTTACGGCACTCTGGAGTGCCGTAACCAAAATTGTGGCAGCGGTGCATCGCATGGCTGCTGGCTACGCCTGTGTTATTGCCTTTGTCTCATTTTTTACGTTGCTACTAGCTTTTGCTTTCTCTCTTCCTCTTGTGGCTAGCGGTCATTTTGCACAGGCGGAGGTCGTTTTAAAGGTCTTTTTTTTCTGTTGTGTTATTTCTCTTCGTCCATGTCGAAGCGACTTTCCCTCGTTTCTGCGGGGGCGTCCGCGGCACTACTGCAGGCTGCCACCGCTATCGTCAACAAAGCCACTGCCGGAAAGCTTAGCGCAACAACTGCCTCGGTGGCGGAAAAACATGCTGTGGTGGTGGGGCCGGAGACGCCGGCGGGTGTTCACACGTCAGTAACTGCTGCACCTGTCTCGCCGGACCCAGCGTACGCGGGTGTCAAGGCAGTGGTTGTACGCGCCGTTCTGCCTCGCTCGTCGCCAGGAAAGGTGCAGCTGCGTGATGCGCTTGACGTGTTCGCCGCTGCAGGTATCAGCGTGGATGCCGAGGTGCAGGCGGCCACGGAGTCCTTTAAGAAGAGTGCGGAGGTGGCTGTGACCAATGCCAAGGCGATTGGTGTGAATCGTGTCACCCTTGTAATGAAACAGGCAACAAAGTACAAGAATCTCAATGACCTTTTCAGGAAGGTGATGACGGAAACAATTGAAGCCGCGGGGATGGCAACTGAAGTGCAGGGCACATCAGTTGCCGCTAACCGGCTTCTTGTGTACCCCGAGTCCCTTGGTGTGGTGCTTCTGAATGATGTGTCATCCGCGGAAAAAATCGAATTGGCCTACGCTGGAGTTATGGGAGGTGCCAGCCGCACATATCACACAGTTAGCGGTGGCAAGGTATCTGCAGGACACAGCTTCAAATCCGTGGCGCTGGCAGTGGCGCAGGAACTCCAGGCACTTGGAATGGGAAGTGAAGCCAAAAAGTTGGAGGAGGCGGCGGCAAAGAATCCCAGGGCAGTTCTTTCTGGTTTGTAAAGAAAAACAGCTAAGGTGCGGACAGCATTGTGTAGTAAAATAGTAATTCACGCGGGGATGACGGTTTTCCTTAGCGGGTGGGTTGAGTCGAGAAGGATGAAAACTGGGGGAGCGCAAACCAAGGAAACAAATGGAAAATAGTAGATATCATGAAGGCGTCGTGGGGGATTGCATCACTCTTTGTTAGGGAAGGTGAAGTAGGAAGAGGGGCGAATGTGACGAGAGAAGGTGTGTGTGTGTGTGTGTGTGTGTCTATGTGTGTAAGCCTTTGTCTCATGAGTACAACGTACAAACGCATGGATGATTTAAAGCGCCTCGATGACGCGTTGGTTGCGTTCTCACCCGTTTATTTCACTGTGGAGGAGGTCAATGACAACAACAGTCAAGAGAAAAACATCTGGGTGAGAGAAGGTAAATATATAAATATGAATAGATGCTTGTGTTTGTTGGTTATTACGTCTTCAATTTTTTTTTTTTTGTTGCGAACGCATACAAACGTACATACATGGCAACAAAAAGAGCGGTAGAGAGCGGAGAAAAAAATAAATAGAGTATCAAGGAAGCATTTGGTTTGACTGTTGCATCAGTTGGAGCGGTTTTGAGCGAGCGCAGCTGTGCCTTGAGGTGTGGGCGTGGGTATCTAGTCCGCCCTGTAGATCACGGATAGGCCCGTGGGCGCAGCATTCATTTTCAGGCGGTATCGCAGCAACAGCCACATCTCTGGCATTAGCAGGCCGATAGCGCCACACAAGGGAGCGGCTGACTGCGGTAAAGAGCGTGTGCGAGAGAGAGGTTTCAGAGGAGAATAAGAGGAAGGGCTTTCCGTGCAGCTTCTTGACGCCATGTGGCCAAAGATGCCTGGTCCCAGGACAGGTCTCTCCTCTCCGTCGGACGGAGGAAGGCAGGGTGCGACGGTATCTTCCGCCGCATCCACGACATTACTATGTGCTCATCCCAACGAACCTTCGAAGCCGTGCTCCCCACAGCTGTCACCGAGTTTGGGGTTACCGCCAACACGCACAATTTTTATTAAAAATGTGCCTCCAACTGTGGACAATAGTCACAAACTACTTCCTTTTGTGCCCACTGAGGGACTTTTCTCCCTCCGGGTGAAACGCACTGGTGGCCGCGATGTTGGGTTTGCAGAGTATAAAACTCTGGAGTCTGCTCAACAAGCAATGCAGTGGTTTTATAGGCTGGAGGCCACGGCAGGCATCGCATTCAATTGCTTCTCTCAGCTGCGGCACACCTGGACTCCAACTCCGCCAAGGTTTCGCTACCAGGTCCCGTACGGTGAGTACAACCTCTGCGCCGGGAATTCCGCCCGCTCCACGGAGTTGCTTCTGAACAGCGTCATCCTCATGGCTGAGTGGTCCCTCAGTACCCCAACGTATCGCCCAGGTTTTGATCCTTTCGTTGCTTCTTCGCAACCCTCGCTGCCACCGTATTATCATGAATTTGCTCCGGCGACCACGGAGTGTACACCGCAAGAGTCATTTCAAGTGTCACGCATGGGATTCAATTCGTTTCCCGGGTGCCATTCTGCGGGCTCCTATGCATACACGGGGATGCCTCAAAGGGCACCTAGGCCAGCGGTTGCCTCCCAGGGCGTAGTTGCTAGGCGCTCTGAGAGGGGGTTCATGACGGAGGGAAGAGTCGTGGAAGGCGGTGAAGCAGCGGCGGGGTGTGCACTGAGGAGTTGGGAGCCTCCGCAAGGCACGGCCTTAATTGGAGGTCATCAACGAGAATTAAGAGTTGGACACTGTCAGCGTCAACGGGGTAATGAGTCCTCGCTCGCACACGACACGTCTTGCTTGTCACCAGGTAAGGTCTTCCAATGGGGGGTGCGTGATTCTACTATTGCGTCCGCGGTGCTGGATGACAGGGATCTCCCCAGCAGTACACTATTTCTGCGGGTTACAGACAATGAACAGCGGCATCGCCTCATGTCGGCACCGTCTTCGCTGAGCCTGGGTGCACCTTTGCGAGGTGAGGGAGAGATTATTGACGAGACGTCTGAAGGCTATGAGGCCTCCCCATGCTTGCAATATCGCAATCGCTGGAGGCAGCGGGATCAGCAAGGGTTGCAGCAACGGAGTTTCTCTGCCAGCAGGTGGTCGCGCCTTCACCACCGGCACCAAACTTGTTGTGTGAGACAAAACCCATTGGGGACGCTGCTTGCTCACCAAATGATGGGTGCAACGAATTTTGGTAACGCAGTACAGCCACCCATCTCGGATAAAGAAGAACCATTCTGCAATGAGTTTGTAGTTGATGAGGCACCTATGTCGCCGGTTTTACTGTCGCCGATCACAAACTGCAAAGACGGTGACACTGAGGATGCAATTGCTAGGATGGTTTTAAACTGCAATTTCTTCTTGGAGCGCTTTGCTGGGGTTCGTTCCTATGTACCGTACTCCGGGCGGGCCGGGTTTCTGCGGTTCGAGAGGCCTGGAGACGCGCGACGGTGTCTGCTGTGGCTGAGGCGGCATCCGGATTTGGCGCCTGTGCTTAACGTGCAGTTTGCGCGCGAGGACACGAGGCGGCGGCGTTCACATAAGCGAAGAGCGAGGTGAAAATTCCTCAGCACACATTTATTTATTTATTGTTGCCGTCGTCGTCCACGCGATGCGTGCTCATTGGCGTACCAACGATATATTTACATATGCCCACATACAGACCTGTGTGTCTTTCATTTACTCACTATTATTGTGTGTGTGTTTATTTATTTATTTATTTTTCGTTCTTTCACACACATGCATGAATGGTGCAGCAGCGATAGGTGGAGGTACTGAAGAGATAAATTGAGGGGTGGGAGAAACGATGGAAAGTGGTAGCTGTTTTTTTTTTTTATCTCTTTGCTTTATTTGTTTGCGGGTCTTTCCTTTTGGTTCTCTCTTGCCGTCCTTTTTTCTGCGGTCGCTCGCGCCTGCCTTCGTGGTGTCTGTCTGTGTGTGTGGAGGGGCCCGCGAACGAGAAAGCGACGGGGTGGGGGAAGAAGGAGAAGCATGGCAACTGAAGCGACCGTAACATGCATCGCACTAACAGCAACAACAACATGCGTTTTAACCTTGACGATTGCAAAGAAGGTGGGTGTAGACTAACAACTGTGGATGGTGCAGCCGCGGCCTCATTGTTTTTTTTTTTTTTTGTGAAGTACTCTTTTTTGTTTTTCCCGCTTTGCGAGTTGGTTTTCATCACCTGCGGTTATTTCGTGTGCGCGCTTTTGCCGAGTGGGGGCGTATGCCATTTGTTGCGTGTTTGATTTCATACGCCTTTTCATTTTTACTTACTTGTTTTTTTTCTGCCGACCATGTTTCTTTGTAGTTGTTTGTTTGCATCCGTGGATTCTCACACATTATTATTATTATTATTATTATTATTATTATTATTGTTATTATTATTATTAT